GCAAGCAAACAGCGAAGTACAAATAGTCTTGAAAAAAAATTCGTGCAGAGGTTAAATGCATTAAAAAAATTCCTGCAGAGACACGAGACTGAAAAAAATATTCGTGCCGCAAAAATTTTATACCCCCCCTCCCGGGATTTCTAATGGTCCGCCCCTAATTACAACATACAATTTCTTAAGATTTTGTAGCATTCCGTTCCGGCGTTCCGGTGTCCAACCGGTGTCCCAGCGTTCCACGTTCCGGTTTTTAGTGGTAACCCAGTAAACAAACATCCTCGAAACTATCATATCAACTGGCTTCATGTTGACAGGATATATTGAAAGATGGGCAATATATTACTGGGATTATTCATTTTATCAAACGTTTTTGCCGAAGGATTTTGCCATGAATATCAAGGTAAGCATTTTGGAAATGCTATACAGATTGTAGGTCTACTTTAGTGCTTTTATTTGCGATTGCAACCTAAATATATTATATATAATTATAAACACAGCTCAAGTATAAAGTCAACTAGTTGGCTTCTCAAAAGTACGTAGATGCACTAAAATTGCAATAAAAGTTTCTGTGATTTTCAATTCAAACAAAGTGTTTCTGATCCGTATCATTTAGATGCTGAATTGGCAAATAGCCAAGGTATATAGTATATTTATATAAAAGTGCGTAGTATAGAATCATTTTCTGAATTGACGTCATCAATTTCCCATCTCACTATTGAACTACAGTACTCAGAATTGAAATCATCATGTTCAAATTAGTCTATAACGTTTTGAAAATTTTGTTTTCCCTTCACTGCGGCGGCAAATTGAAATTTTCATTATATACAGACTAAATTTGAGCATGAACTGGTTAGAACATGTCAATTCTGGGGTCCATTTCTGCCAAATATGAAGATGAAAAATCGATATATTAAACATTAATTATCATCCATGCAGATTGTGTTTCAGCATGTTTTAGCCAAACGCAAGACAAGACAAAAATAAGACAAACATAAGACAAGACAATACTGAAGTTAGTTTAATACTGTCGTATTGTTCAATGTGCATCTACATAACTACATTTCAGACAAAATTTGTCCTGGGTGCAGTCTGTATGTATAAACAAACCCTTATTTGTTTACATTTCGGTATTCAAAATATTGAACTTTATTCCACAACTATATTTTCATGCTTCTACAGTATAATAAATGATCAAGATACAACATTGAACAATCAGGCTTTGCAAGAACATAAAATGAAATAAAAACCTAATTTTTGGTGTTTATATCACGGCAGGAGACTCATATGTGCACATGCATGCGCACTGTACCCTATCTTTAAAGACCATCTAAAAGACCATCTATCTTTAAAGACCATGTAAAATAAGACATACAAACTGAATATCTAACACTTTTCTGGTTCGCTATTGTAAATGAATATAAACTAGAGTATATGTTTCAATTCAAAAACGTTCAAAAGATGCAAAATTTGGGCAATGTTTATATCTGTGTGTCCCCCTTAATTGTTAATTATGAGCAGAACTGATGCACAGAACGGACTTGACATTGTCTTTAAAGTTGTTTTATATAGATTATATAATAACGGCTAAGTAATGACCGAGCGTGAGGTCTGTACTGTGAAATATCAGACCGCGAGGTTTTTTAGTATGGACCGAGCGTCTGATATTTCACAGTACAGACAGAACAAGCAAGGTCAATAATCAGTTTATTATATGGCTGAACTGAGTCTGTGAGCATACAGTACTGCCAAGAAATAACTTGTCCCCGCATCTGCCCGTGTCCTGCCTCCAGAGCGCCCGCGTCTTGCATCCACTCTGCCTGCGTCCTGCCTCCAGAGCGCCTGCGTCCGGCCTCCACGACGCCCGCGTCTTGCGTCTACTCTGCCCGCGTCCTGCCTCCAAAGCGCCCGCGTCCGGCCTCTAGTTAAAAACTGCGTCGGAAAAACGAACTAATATTTGCATCATACTCCTAGTTTGTCGTGAGAATACAGATCAGTGTCACTGATCGGAGAAGCAAAGAACAAAAAGTTGAATCCGAAATTGAGTTTCATTGAACCTAAGCGTTACACTTAGTATAACCATTTGATAATGTCATACGTTATACTATGTACAGTAAGCGTAGTGCTTTCACAATGCAATCACACGTCAATATGACTGTGTATTGGAGCGTAAAATAGACATAAACTATATATAAATATAATGTAGACACATATACTAAACTCAGTGAGATCACGACTACAACGAGTATATATCTCGCCAGGACCTTTTTTAAGGATTTTCCCGTGGGGGGGCATTTTTTGAAAAGGGACCTTTCTGTGAGATAACATATTACAGGGAGATAGCAATAGCTGAAGGCCACGTGTGTGACCAACACACCATTCACGCATGAATTGGGGGGGGGGGTCCGGGGGTGTACTCCCCCAGAAATTTTTTGAAATTTGAAGCACGGAAATGCCATTTCCTGCATTCTGAGCAACCAAATTTGCTCCAAAATGTATGCTAACTATACTTGTATTTGAAATAAAAGAAGGAAAAAACCAACAAAAAGTAAAAAAAAATATTAACCATAATTTATCATTACTTATTAGAGGAGGATACCAATGGTTACGTGTGTGGGGGTGTACTCCCCCAGAAAATGTTTGAAATTTGAAACACGGAAATGCCATTTCCTGCATTCTGAGCATCCAAATTTGCTCTAAAATTTATGCTAACTATACTTGTATTTGAAATAAAAGAAGGGGAAAATGCACAAAAAGTAAAAAAGAATATTAACCGTAATTTATCATTATACTTATTAGAGGGGGATACCAATGGCCGAAGGCCACGTGTGTGGGGGCATAATCTCCAGAAAATTTTTCAAATTTGAAACCTGGAAATATTCTTTCCTGCATTCTGAGCATCCAAAAAATAAAAAATTATTAACAATAATTTATCATTACTTAGTGATAGAAAAACGTAACAATTTAAATCGATTTTGTTAAACAAGGACAAAGGATAAAGCCTAAAACTTACTTTCCGTTTATTTATTTGTTATTCTTCGCTGTTTTGTTGGTATAAATTTAGGAAAAGGGACTTTTCCTGGGGGGGGGGGCAAAATGTGATTTTGTGGGAGGGGCACAAGGGGGGACTGGGGGGAAAATGCCCCCCCCCCCCCAGCTTGTATGTTAAAAAAGGCCCTGTATCTCGCAACACATTCATTTGCTACTCAAATTCTGACTTACCTCGTAGAAGATTGCCGATTAGTTGATATGCAATTCTGTATTTGAATGTTATGTCTCCGTAACTCGTCAGTATATTAAAACTGATAAAACGAAGATGCTCATTTACAATATATATAGTGCTTTTGATTTTTCATATAAAATACCATTACTACGAGCCACTATATAACTTTATTTACAGCAACAAGTTTGTGTTCTTGTTTTTCCAAAGCAGCAAATGCACATGGTGATATGTCATATAAATTGATAATTACCAATAAAAATGCCATATAATTTCTGGATAAATGACTTCTCTTAATCCCTTAATGGAATACCTTTACATGTCCAGGAAACAGTCTTTGTGTTTCAACACGGTTCAATGACTGTGACTCATCGCTTGATTTTCAAAGTTGCAGTATAATTCGCTAAAGCTGAAGTGAAGAGCTCACTAGACTAATATCACTCGATCCGTATTACTATCACACTAATGATTACTATCAACCAAAACGTATTTTGGGTTTCTTCGAAGAAGATATAAAACCATACGTGCATTTTGCCAACCGGCAACGTTAAAAGATTACTGGGTTTAAACCAAACGTTATATGAAGGTGCGAAAGTAGAGATCAAATACGAAAAAGAACTTTACGAAGCACAAATTCTGAAAATTCACGGTAAGTTTAATATTAGAAATATAAATATCTAGGACTCTAGGTCTGCAACGCTTGTGTATAAATTAAGCATAAAAACGTGGTGTGAAATCGCTAAACATGAATATTTTCCGACGCCCACGGTTTGTTTATGAAAAGCGAAACGCGATAATTTCCGACAATCTACGAATAGAACTTTTTCTCATATGCGTCCTCGCCCGCAGACGCAAAGCGGACCCATGGCGCCCGCACAGTGGACGCACCCGAAAGCGCCCGCAGACGCACAGCGGACGCACGGCGCCCGCAGGACGGACGCACCCGCGGGCGCCCGTGGACGCAAGATACCCGCGTCTTGGACGCGATTTTTGATAAGTTATTTCTTGGCAGTACTGTATATACCTTTCACACGAATTAAATCGGCTATCGTCAGTTTCACTGGGTAACAATATACGGCAAGCACGCATGCTCAATTAAAAACAATTTGGTTGTTTGAAATTTTTATCTGTAAAGCACAATTGGGATTAGGCGACACCTATCATTTGAAGTCTGACAACCAAACATTTTGAATGCATTTTGAATTTTTTTGGTAGAAAGTTTACAGGAGGGCAAGACTGTCTGTTGATGGTGGGGTATTTTCCGCATATTTAGTAGAGCCTGAAACCTGAAAAAAATCGCTGGTTCAAAAAAGGCATTTGTAATTACCAAACAGTCTACAATTATATCGTCATTCAAAATATTTGTTTTAAACCCTGTGACATTTGTTGCATTTAAACCAAGAATGTAATGAGTTCACATGTATTACTACTACAGTAGGCTATCTTATTATTGGCTTACAGTAATTGTGTGGAGCTCACCTCAGTAAACCACACTCGTTTACAATGATCAGTGAGCTAAAAACTCCAAACTTAAGAAAGTTGAAATCTGAGAGTGTCAATGACCTTTGCAGCCTGTAAGTGTCCGCTAAAACTCAAATTTGGGAATTTTGAGAAAACCTTGTAGACATTTCATCAGAGAAAGTTTGTACCATGTACCGTCTAATCTTGTATCTAGGGTCTAATCTTGTATCTATGGTCTAATCTTGTATCTAGGGTCTAATCAGACAGTATCTGCACAGAGTGCACGCCCCAGTAGTATGTGGAGGTTAAAACCCTTGCTTGCTAGGACCTGACCACAGCCGATGACAGCTTAATTGTTTTTAGCCATTCACATATTCTCAGTCCACCAGTGAACTGGCAATGAAAAAATGTATGGGAAACCGGCAGACAGTTTTTCTTGCCCCCCCCCCCCGTTTTCATCTGCCTTAATTTTCCCATCTGCAAGTTCTCCCCAAAAACCATCTGCTATACAGGCATGTGTCAGTTAAATTTTGAATATTATGACGATTATTAAATGAGATTAACAAATGTATGTATCACCCAATGCTCTGCCGACTGAGCTACGCGGTCAGGTACATACTGTACATACATTATGTATATGTATGTACTTGACCGCGTAGCTCAGTTGGCAAGGCATTGGGCTAGTATTCCAAAGGTCGTAGGTTCGATTCCCACCATGGTCATATTTTTCAAGCTTGCCTGGTGTGGATATACACTCAGAGTAACATCACAAGCATAATAATAGGCTGGACTTCAATGATTCGGATTCTTGCACTTCACTTGGTGGAATTAATATTAGAATGTTAGGGTTTATACTCACTTGGATTACAAACCCTAACATTCTAATAATAATAGGCTTCAGTTGATAATTTGTATCAAGGGAATTTCTGTGATGGCTGTTACCTGCTGTTAGCCAAATTACAAATCATGAATTATTTTAAGTTCAACGACATATCATATATACGCATTATGGTCAAAATCTAAATCCATGACTCAATGCATATTCATTGTCTCAATATTAATTTCTATTGGAAATTTGCCCAGTTCCAATGAACCGATTGGAATTCCTAGGAATTTAAATTTGTCCCAAAGTCCAATTTGATTTGTTCATGGAATTACGGTTGCCATTGAGTAATTTTAAAAAGAACAAAACAATAGACACTCCGAAAATAGTTAACATTTTATTCAACGTTTCGACGGAGTGTCTATTATTTTGTTCTTTCTATTTGTTCATGGGTGGAATGACTTATTGGGAGCAAAAGTCCAACCGTGCAATGGTGTTGGTCTGTTCAGTATTATATAGTCACAAGTGAAAATTGAAATCCATTTTAAGGTGAACACTGAACATAGGGTAAAAAGCGACATTTTTATCTTGCAAACCACATGTCATTGTCAATATGAAACTAGATTTTCCGAAATCTTTTTAGTACTCAGTTAACATTTTGAAAAACTTTTCGAAGAAATTTAGTCCCACTTGAAGAAGTTTTAACAAGTTTACCCTGCTTGTGACGTCATCAAAAACTCAGTTAATTAGGTCAATTATAATACCAAGATGGCGGACTGCATAGTGTTTTTGGTCAAAATATTTCGAAAACCAAGCAAGATGCGAAAAAGTTCTTACATTCTTATACATAACTTTAAAAGTTCTTTCAAATAAGACAAACTTAATTTGTATTGCCATATATTCCCTTCAAGAGTGAATACCATGCCAGTGATCGTTTGCACGCTTGTGTTTACATTCGTCTGTATCTGATGAATATACTTTCATTACAAACATTTTGCATAAAGAACGCAACATTTCACAAGATATAGTGACTTACTTCGTTTAACAGAAGAAATAGAGTTGTTTTTTAATAGGATTCCGATAAATATGGGCCAATATACAAAATAAATTTTGCAGATCACTTATAAATATCTCAAGAGTCAGACATTTTCTGGGACTCCAAAAGCGGCAAGCGCCCAAAGGATCACTGGCATGATACTCACTCTTTAAGCATTTGGCTTTATAGAGTAAGGATTAAACGGCACAGGGTAAATTGGGAAAAGTATACAGAGCACTAACCACAATGTGTTGCTATAAATGCATTTCATCGCTAGTCGCTACATATAATATTTTAAACTTTTCTACCCTTTAGTGCACTATGAAGTGAATGATTTTGGTGAGCTGGGAAAACCAAGGTTCCAAATAAGCCATGACATTATAAAAAGATCTGCATTAGCTGAAAATGTAACGTCGACTGCCAGTCCTCCCAAATCAGTAAAACCAACAACACATGTTATCACAAATCCAGCAACATCCTTCGATAGGACGACTGGAAAACCCTCTGCTATAACAAATAACCAACCCTCTGGTAAACCAACAGCCCACCCCACATCTAGAAAAACTAGCCATCCTCCTACAAATATACCAAGGACACAAACTCTTCGAAACAATACTACAACCCGTTTTCAAGTTCTGCGTACAACTCCAAGACCAGTCAACAACACGAATGGAACCAATATTACCATTTTTCAGGTAATTTTATAGGTAATTTTTGTAAAATTTACTGAAAATTGTTTAAGAAAATTTGAAGTATTTGTAAATGTGGTATTCTAATGAGTATACCCTATGCGGAATAATAATAATGACAATAAAAACAAAAAAATCAATTTATATAGCGCTGTTACACTAATTGTTCACGGCGCTTTACAATGCTACTGTTAAAAACCTACAAGAATAGTATACTAATTTACAGGTTATTTACAATAAAAATTTATACTAATTTAAAACAATCACAGGAAAGTAGTCTAAGAGTTAGAGTATGCATGTTTAAATAAATAAGTTTTTAGCTGGCCATTAAAAACGGTGACGTTAGGCGCCTTCCGTATTTGGAGAGGTACTGTAGATTGTTCTACGGTAGAGCCTAGTGTCAGCAATAGAAAAGGCTCTGTCCCCGTTCAGAAGTTCTGTCCCCGTTCTGTTAACCGTTCAGAAGAAGTTAAGACAGCAGGTCTTGTACTAGCTTGTTTTAAATTAAGTTCAGAATGTAGCTTGTCAATTTTCCCAATAAAGAAATCAGCAAAGGAGTTCGCTAGCGTGATTGGATCAGGAGACGGTGGGTATCATTTTACAGTTGTTGACGGTTGCAAATAATACTTTCTGATCACCAGAATATTCTTCAATAACCTTTCTGTAATAGGCAGTTTTTAGGTTGTTGACGAGATTGTTGACAACAGAACGTTGATGTACATATTGCTCACGATCACGCTGTAGCTTGGATTTACACCATTTCCGCTCCAATCGCCTCCTTTTATTCTTCTCCAAAGCCACGTCCTGGTGATACCAAGGGGCTGATGGGCGTACGATTACTTCTCGCTGCATAATAGGTGCGTGTTTGTCCAATATTGAGCACAAAGCGCTATCATATTGTTTCACCAAAGCGTCCAGATCTTCAGATGGATTATTCAAGATGTTAGAATTGCTGTACTAATGTCCTCGTGTACAGAGTCCATGTCAATGGAACGCAATGTACGAAACGTTGCCGTTCGTTTAGAAAAGAAAGGTTTCTGGAGATGTAAATCACAGTGAACGGCGAAGTGATCGGCAATGACTGGATCCCTTATCACGATGCTCCTAATCAACGAGTCATCTGATCTGGTGATGAGTAAGTCAAGCGTGTGACCCTTCTTCTGGGTAGGACCGCTGACAGCCCAAACGTATCTAAGATATCAACAAACCGGTTAGCATGATTATCATGTGAATCGTCCAGGATTCTAGTAAAATTGACCCAACTGCTATTTCTAAATTAGGACTTTTAGTGCTGAATTTTTTTTTCTTGATTTGGTAAAAAAGGTTTTATAACTTGGAAACAACTAGTGAATTGTCGCTCAACCGGCTTGGATGTAGATGACAGTATCCCTGTGTATTTAAGAAAACATTTTACAGTTTTCAAATCGCTGAACGAAATGATCGTGGAAAGAGTGATAAAAGCATGAAATTTGGCATAGACCTTCCCTGGCACCTACCGATGAAGGGTTGCTCAAAATGTAATTGGTTGGGATCCATTACCGGGGATATTTTCATATCTTTTCTAGCCTCCTCAGCAAGCAACTCGGTTACGCAGTATGATGGGGGTAATATAGGATCATAAGGGTTATTGTGTAGTGAGGAAATAAGCAAAATAGAGTACTGCCACGCCCCCTCACCGCCACTCAATCTGCTAAATATTGCGTAAATTTCGCCGTTGTTTTCCGCCAAGTTGTCTGTGGAGGAAGCTATAGATTTGCTTCTATAGAAAAAAGTCAAATTTATTATTTTAAGCATCTCTGCTACAACAACACGGATTACATGCAGCAAGAGAACGAACTCGGGAAATGGAGCAAAATGGTATATTCCACCCCTCCCTGCGACTTATCGTTTAAGAGAAATTGAATATTCACCTTTAAAGAAAGTGTAACTCGGAATGCCCAATCTGTGGACATTGTAGATTTTCGAAACTATATGTAAGCTATAAGTTATTTACTATGGTTATTTACTTTTCATTAGAATAATTCATTTTTGCAACTGCGATTCTGAAATTTGACTTGGTATATAAATTTGATATAGGTAAAAACACAAAAATCCTCCTGAAAATGGTTTCAAAGCAGATAAATTTTTGGCATCCCTCCCAAATAGGTGCCAATTGAAAGAAGCTGTTTGTCAAATTCCATGCTTTTATCACTCTCATGGCAAAATTTTGTGATTTTCCACAGTTTCACTTTTTATGTGACTTTGTATACTTGCAGGATAACCACAAGTATTTTAAATCACGTTATTATCCGTCTGGTGAGAGATGGTGGTTTAACTTGAACGATGGATCTGGGACACCAAAACTCCATGTTGGGCTAACGAAAAATTTGCAGTATTCTGATGTAAGTTCAATATTCATCCAATGGAGAGATCTAAGTTAATTCGACCTTTGTAGTTTATTCATACTACTTGAACTTTGTATATGTTGATTTTTCTTATTTAGACTATCAAAACTTCATTTAGATTTCCTTATTATGGACATGTAATCAATAAAGTTACTATTACTAATAAGGGTAAGATAGTAATAGATACAATCGTTCGTTTTGTATAGCATGCTATTACTGTACAATTTTCGCTTTTGTTTTGACTCTAGCAACTTCGTTATAGACAGATAGATAAGAAGCAGCACATGCCTACACTTAGGAGGGTGTTAGAGGGTGTTTATATGAGCCCTACATAAAGCAGGGTTCGAATTCGAATTACCAGTGCATGTGCAATGTGCAATTTGCGCATTGTTTTGGACCAAATAGTGAAAATTGCATATACAGTATATTTTCTAAACGCAAAAAATCAGACTGGGACTATTAAATTAATGAACACCATCCGTATTTATAGATTTAAACAATTAAGCCAATCTAGTTGGTTTTTATTTATAAAAAAGTACTTTTGCATATGCACACTACTGTAGCAGCATGTTTGGCATCCTCGTTCCCAGGGCTTCTCGGCTGCCTGCGTCCGAGAAGCCCTGGGAACGAGGATGCATGTTTGGAGACTGGAAGGTGTGTAAAATTTTAGCCACCATGACAGACAAGCACATGACTGATTAATGTTATGTGTTAAGTTTGTATATCAAAAATTGCAAACAATGTTCGAAAATTATTCAAATCGTTAGATTATTGCAGTTTGATTGAACGACTGGGTGGCTGAGACAATCATGAACCTATTTTATCAAAATTTAGAGCCATGTTTCTTTTAAAAGTTGCACATCATTTTTTCTCAACTATAATTCGAACCTGTAAAGGTCTGGACTAGCCCTATAGCAGTAGGGCTGATTTTCGCCGCGTGTTTATACATGAGAAAAATCAGCCCTACTGCTAGGGCTGGCTTCCTTTTAAAAGTAGCACTTAATATGGTTTCCGTGCAACTCATTTTTATTATGGCGTCCAAAATCATAGTTTGCCGACTAAATTTTTGAATGTTCGTTTAGAACTACTGCATATTTAAAGAGAAAAAAGCTGTAAAAAGTTTAGTTCGAAATCAATGCGAAATCAATTCAATACTCAGCCCTATATTGTATGAGGGCCTCCCTACTGCGTTTATATGGAAAATTTCCAGCCATATACTAGACGAAATCTCGCCTTGTCAACAGCGAGGTCGCGCCTAGTAGGGCTGGCCCTCCTTTCATGCAAACGCAAACAATTTTTAATAGGGAAATGTATTAACAAGCCGGATCTCGCCTATGTAGGGCTCATATACTGTAAACAGGGCCTTAGACTTGCTACAAATCAACTCGACTTGTCGCTCTTGCAGCACGCCATATTTTACCGACTCGAATCCTGGTCGATGCGTATTATAGCGAAACAAAATTTAAGAATTGGCCATGCATTATTTCCCGTGTTTATTTATGCATAGTATGAGTAATCCAAACAGTTGTGAGGAAACATTGAGAGGAAAGTTTAAATATTTTTGAGTTTTGAATTAGGACTGTGCATGGTGTAATTTTTCGCGCCAAAAAGATACAATTACCTGCAAGCGCGACAAGTCGACTCGCTCCCTCGCTGAGCTCAGAAGCTCAAATTCACCCCTTCGCTTTATTCGGTAACGCTTTTTACTCCTTACAATGTGAGTTGACTTGTAGCAAGTCTAGCCTACATTAAAAGGTACTATATATTTCACTAATAAAGTGCGAAGGAGTTAGTGAAAAAATAGAGAAGAGGGAGCGGGCTTCGAAAATTCCCAAGAATGAAAGTGAAAACCATCAAAATAATATAACTGGTCCATTTCTTTGAAAAATTGGCACAAATATATCGTAATAAATAAAATGCAATGTAAATTTCAAGCAGCCTAATCAGCTCCGAAAGTGTTATTCTATCACCGTTTTTAGTCACAAAAAACACTTAAAATTTACAGTGTGATTAGACCCGTGAAAACCGATTTGTATATAAATTAATATATCCCATCTTCCCATGCTGATATAGATTTTAAATATCCTTGTAAAGCAGTGTCCAAACGACTATTACACCACAAAAATAGCAGGACTTTTTTTAACCCCCGCCCCCCACGAGTCAATATTTGCCCCCTATATTCCTTAAAATATATACAAGACTTTGGACGAAAAATGAGCTTTAGAGGCGAGATTTGATATTCTAGTAACTGAAATTTGCTTTGTGAATCTTATGTCATGTCTTTTATCATCAAATGATTAATTTAGAATGCCCCAGACCTCCTACTATTACATATACGACCTTTTTTCACCAACAATTATCTGTCATCTCTTTATAGTATGGTCTCTTTCTGTAGATTCCCCACTGACGAATTCTTAAAAAAGGCCCTGAAAAATACAGCACTTTATACAAAATTCTATTTTTCAAACCATCTGCAAAAATATGAGTTTGGAAACATGCCAAATTCGTTCACATTTTTAAAAATATGAGTTTGGAAACATGCCAAATTCGTTCACATTTTCATGCCCAAATGCAATGGGACAAATACATTTCCGTACAAATACGTTTTGTCACTCTTCTAGGATTCTTATTTCTGGGACAGAAATTGCACAAGTTCAATGCCTCTGTGCAGTACGTTGCTCCACTCATGGCAGACTTTGGTGCTCACTTACATGACAAGACATCCATACGTTATGTTGATACAGGTATAAAATCATTTAATGTATATATTTATTATATGGCAAGCATTTGTTTTGACGAATCGCGCAATTTTATTGGTTGCTGACGAGGCAGGATTTCCCGTATTGCCCACGGACATGTCTGTTTTTGTTAGATAAAATGAGACATAAATTGTAGATGAAGCGAACTAAAAACGTACTTGTCCATACTGTTTATTAATTTTGTTGTTTTCATATTTGTTGTCTTTGATTAAACAAGACGCTCTCTCGAGCGTTAAGTTGCTGGGCTTTTTAAATAGGCGCCTGCGTGATTTGCCGCACGATTCGTGGGCTTGATTTGTAATTGTACGTAAGTTTATTAAATAGTGACACGTTGCGACATAATGTATACAACAAATTTAATTAACTAAGGGACGGACCATTAGAAAAGTGAAG